TGTTTTCTTTCTTTCTTTCTTTCTTTCTTTCTTTCTTTCTTTCTTTCTTTCTTTCTTTCTTTTTGAGAGGTTTTTGCTATAGGGCGCATGCGCTCACCAGAAAGACGAGAGAGACAGAGAGACAGAAAGCGAGAAATCACCCCTCAGGGGGGATGGTGACGCCTCAATCCGTTCTCCTCCATTCTCCTCTCGGGATCTTGGGCACGCACGCACACTCGCCTGGTGTGAGTTTAAGCCACTGGGTCTGGGACTCAAACCGCAGTCGACTACATGGGAGTCCAGTGACATAGCCATTACGCCAACTGCTGGTCCCAGGTGTTTTATTTCAAAGACAACAAGCTTTATGTTTTTATAAGGGCCACGCCCAAACATATGGGCACAGAGGTTGACAGGTAGGGCCAACGCAATGGTGGCCGGAAGCTGGTTTCTGCAGTGAATGCACCTAAGACAGGAGGATCGGAGAGGAAAAAGAGGGCCATGGCTGCCAGGGAGGGAACACGCCTCAGGAAGGAAAGGGCAAGAAGAGCCCCAGGAGCTACGTTTCAACACACAAGCAGCAGAGGCGGAAGCTGGTCAAGAGAGGACAAGACGCCGCCACTGAGGAATTCTCCACCCCGACACTGACGGTGACAGGCGGAAACCGGTGAGGGTGGACAGTCTGCGTCCATGGCCTTGGGCTGAGGGACATGCACACAGGCATCAGAAACACGCAGAAATGAATACAGACATCTACCAACCCACAGAGAAAGCCTGAACCAACGCCAAAAACCTATGTCTTTACAATTGCACGTCCTGCCTCCGAGGCAAGGAGGTCAGAGACGAGGTTCTAAAGAGCGAGCCGAAAGCCCACGCACTCTGACATCCTAAAGTATGATTCTTGGGGCCAGCAGGCGGTGTGCTGGTTAGGGTGCTGGGCCCCCACAGAGCCGACAACAGCTCAAGTCCCAGACCTGGAGGCTCGCCTTCCACTTTCCCTTCCTCTCACTCTTTGCCTCTCTCTGGCCAAATTTTAAAGTAATAATAATGAATTAATTAATTAAATGAAATAATCATTTTAAGAAATATAGGATTCCAGGGGGCAAGCAGGTGATGTAGTATTGGGGTGCTAGACTCCCACATGGTCGACCGCAGTTCGAATCCCAGACCCGGCAGCTTGAAACTCATGCCGGATATGTGTGCATGTGCCCACAATCCTAAGAGGAGAATGGAGAAGGGATTGAGGTGTAGTCATCCACCCATGGGGTGATTTCTCACTTTCTGTCTCTGTCTCCAAACAATACGTATGTGGTCTAGGGCCAGCAGATGGTGTAATGGTCACGTCACTGCACTCCCACAGGGTCAACCGTGGTTCAAGTCCTGGGGCCTTGCAGCGTGAAACTTATGCTGGGCACACGTGCATGTATGCCCAGAATCTTGAGAAGGGATTGTGGTGTGGCCATCCCCCAGGGAGTGATTTCTCACATTCTATCTGCCCTATAGCAAAAGTCTTTCTTTAAAAAAAGGCATCTATACGTATGTATTTATTTCCAGGACCAACAGGTGGCGTAGTGGTCACACTGCTGGACTCCCACATGATTGACTGCAGTTGGGGCCCCAGACCTGGTGACTTGGAGATCATGTCAGGCGCGTGCGTGTGCATGGCCAAACTCTCAGGAGAGTGGGGAAGGGATGTGGCATGGCCGTCCCCTTTGTGGGAGATGATTTCTTGCTTTCTGTCTCTCTGCCTCTCTGGCAAGCATGTGCCCTAAAGCAAAAATCTCTTTAAAAACGTGCTTAGAAGATGGTCATGAACACGTATCAGCCACGTTAGGGACTTGCTTCTGCTTCAGGTCACAGGTGGCAGAAGCGGCCTCTAACCTGGAACGGCCTGTGCGAGGCTGCAGGCCTGAGGCCTTACCTCAGTGAGGAGTGACAGCCGCCCCCTGTGGCGGGAAGGAAGCGAGGAGAGGCCTAGAGTCACTGAACACGGTGAGGGAGTACAGGCACACAGGAAAGGCCTGGCTGGACAAGTGCACGGGGTCTCCCTGGCGCCCATGGCAAGCACTGACTTGGCCCCTGACACAGAGCTGGTACGTGAGGGGACCAAGGGCTGAGAAGAGCCACACAGGGTCAGATAGCAGGGTCCTTGCTGGGCGGCCAGCCTGATGGACAATCGAGGGGTGTGTAGGAGGTCTGGCCTCAGAGGAGGGGAGACTCACCCTTATGCCAGGTGTGTGTGTGTGTGATGCCCAAAATCCTGAGAGGAAAAGGGATTACGGCTCCCCACAGAGCTCTGGAGCCACGTCGTCCTGGGTCTGAAAGACCCACCTGCTCCCAGGTAACATGCCTGTGGCAAGTGACCTCAGGGATATTTGCAGGAATACAAAAACACCAATTAGGACCAGCAGTTGGTGTAATGGCTATGTCGCTGGACTCCCATGTACCTGACCAAGGTCCAAGTCCCAGACCTGGTAGCTTAAACTCACGCCAGGCACGTGTGTGTGCGTGCCCAAGATCCTAAGAGGAGAGTGGAAGAGAAGAGATTGCAGCATGGCCATCCCCCTGGGGGGTGATTTCTCGCTTTCTCTCTCTGTCTTTCTGGCGAGCACACGTGCTCTATAGCAAAAAAAAAAAAAAAAAAAAAAAAAAAAAACTAAAAAAACTAAACTCTCCAAAAAAAAAAAAATTACCCAGCACCTGCAGGGGACTTACAGTCTCTGGAGCCCAATTGAAACTATTAGAACCAGAGAAGTGAAAATGACCCAGATGAGAAGGCAATCCCCTCAACAGGCTGGATGGCAGGCAACGTGGCAGCGTGGCCGGCAGCACCACGCTGCACTCTGCACGATTCAGTACCACGTGTGGGTTTGCACAGCTGCTCACGCCAGTGCACGAACACACGCTCCACACACACATCAACGCAGCAATGAGCCCCGTCCCCTCTCAGGAGTGGGTCGTGACGAGTCCTAACCAGCCGCCTGACCAAACCGGGAGCCCGGTGTGGGCCCAGGCAGGGAGGGGCCTTCAAGACATGCAGACCACTGTTACCTAAAGGTGAGACGAAAGCAGCGCCATTTTGGCGGCACTGAGCACCCTCGTGGGCTCTGCGACATCACTGCTGGTCTCCGGAACGCGCCTGCCCGGGGACGCCTGCACTCCTCAGTGGCCAGCCCCTCCCGGCCCTCTCACCCAGCCACGTTTCCTGCTGTTAAATGACTAAACGGGCAGGAAGGATGTCTTCTCTTTGTTCCAAACGTCAGAAACATCTTTTGAAAGCTGGGACGTGAGAGGGGAGGTCTCTGAAGATGCAGAGCTGCACCACAGAGACAGTCACTTCCCTGACCGCTAGGGGCATGGCCTGTCTCCTGGCGCACCCATCAGCGAGGCTGAGACCAGGACGCGGTGTTCACCTGCGTCACAATGGCGCCCCTTTGTGGGAGAGCTTGGCAATCTCTTCTTGGCTCAAGTCCAAAGAATTGCTTGATTGAAAAATAAACGGAACTGATCTCAAAAACCCAGTGGCGCATGTTGGGATTTTAAACTAGAACATGTGAGAGGTGGTATGGGATGTTCCAGGAAGCACAGCAGGGACAGGCTGCAGCGCCTGCAGTGGCCAGCAGCCGGCGGGCCTTTTTTTTTCCCCTCCGTGGGCCCCCAGCCGCTGGCCCCCCGAAGGGTGTGTACTTTCTGGGGTGCTGAACCCCTCATCCCAGCCTCTAACCTGGCACTACCGCCCCTTCCCCACCCTCAGCAGAGCAAGAGCCACAGGAGCAGGCAGGCCCCCAGTGACACCCAGTGGGAGGTCTCTGCCACCTGTCTCGCCCATCCTGCCTCCTAATCGTTACCTGCCTGCACATCCGCCCCATAGGCTGCGAGCCTGCTAGCATGCTGACCCCAGCCAGGACAGAATGGGGCACTGTGAGCCTGGGCGAGGTTGCCCACTGTGCACCCAGCAGGTTCGGCCCAAGTCCCACCGACTCGTATAAAGGCAGGCACGTGTCAAAACTGCACACCTCATCTGAACACGTGCCCACAGCACGCACCTTCATATCTGCGGTGGCTGTCGTAGTCCTCAGAGCAGGGTACCTCGATGAACCTGCCCACCAGGACCTCACCGCGGCGGGCCAGGACCTCCGTGACACCATCCTCGGCTCCCAAACTGCTCCAGAGCAAGAGTGCCGCCACCACAAGGCCACTCCCCAGGCCCACAGCCCTCAGCCAGGTCCTCCACACGTCCCTCGGCGCCCGGTCCTTCTTGGTGCTGAGAACAGAGAATGACCACGTCACCAAACACAGCGTGTGCTGAAAATGCAGCCCAAGACCAGTCGAGCCAGCGGCTGTGGCCACGTGAACCTGTCATCGGCGTGGACCTTGGTCAGCCCAGAAGCCGCCCACCAGCAGCGGCAGTGACACAGGTGGTGAGCCCGGAGGGCGTCTCCCCGCCGCAGGCTCTGCACCGGCAGGAGCGGCCTGGCAGCACAGCCCTCACCATGTGGCCAGCAGGGCTGAGCACAGCCTTCGACAGGCAACCACGAGCCCTGTGTCTCTAACTAGGCTGCCCATACCTGCACGAGCGCCCAGGTGCACACGTGCACACATACATGCACACACCAGGACTCGAGCCAGTCATGAGAACTGAGCCCACGTACCGAAAACCACAAGTCGCCCAGGAAGTGAACATGCGTGAGCCAGAAACGGCTTGTGAGTGAGCCCTCTGCACACCTGGGCTAGCCGCCTAGCTCAGCAGGCACGCGCACAGAGTGCCTGGCGTGCACACCTGTGCGTGCGAGGCTGGCCTGCGGGTGCCACCGTCCAGGAGACCTTGCAGGACAGGCAGAGGCGAGGGGCGGGCACCCTCTTCTGGGGGTGCACTGTCCCTTCCCACCTGTGACCGACCCTGACGGCGGCTGGCCCACACTCCACCCTTGGCGTCCCTCAGTCCATCACCGCGTGAACAGGACAGAATCTGACTAAATGATTCAGAGAACGGAGACGGGCCCTTCGGACCGGGTCAGCAGACACTTGGTCATCCTCATGGGGGCCACAGGTGCCTATGGTGGCCCCAAGAGAGGTGACAAATGCAGCGGCGAGCAGGGGGCACAGGTCAGTGCAAGAGCACCAGGGGAGGGCGGAGCCAGGGAGCACGTGCACCCCGGAGGAGGCCGACAAGGACTGGAGGGGACACTACCAGGGCACAGGTGAGCGCCAAGGAGGGCGGGCGAGGGTGAGTGTGAGGAAAAGTGTGACTGAGTGTGACCGAGGGCGGGCGAGGGCCACCGTGTCCAGCGCTGAGGCTGAGGGGGCCGTCCTGACCCCAGGGCTATGCAGCCTGCGCTGTGGGTTGCTGTTCCCTGACGGCCAGGGCCCTGCAACAGCTCCCGAAGGCAGCTCCTACTGTTCACGCGACAGCCTGAAGCCTGGGCACGGACGACCCCCGCGGTGCAGGGGAGGCCAGATGGACAGGAGGGACGGGGTCCCACGCCCAAACGGAGGGACTCGTCCAATAGGAGTCCGCGCAGGCGGAGGGCGGGAAGGAGGGGCTGCACCCCCCACCCCGGCCTGCTCCCTCAAGCCAGGGCAGGCACCGCGGCCACCTCCAGCACCAGGGGTTCGGCTTAAGGCAAGAGTGTGAGGGCGAGCGGGGGCACAGACCGACCCGACAGAGCGCTTCCCGCCCACGCTCCCGAGCCCAGGGGCGCGGCGGCTCAGACA